CTCCTCCGACCCCAACCACACCGGCTCCCCCGGCCCCATCGTCCTTCGCTCCTCCTACACATCCGACTTCCGCACCTTCTCCACCCCCTCGACCCTCATCGACAAGTCCCCAACCAACGTCATCGACCTCTCCATCCTGCCCGTCTCCAACACGACATTCGTCCGCTTCATCAAAGACGAGTCCGCCAAGACTGTTTTCAGCGAACTCAGCACGACCGGTCTAGGGGGGCCGTGGACACGGCAAGGTGGCGCCAGTGCGATTATTCAGAACGGGGTTGAAGGACCGGCGCCGTATTGGGATAACCAGGTCCAGGGGAAGGCGCATTTGCTGTTGGACTTTTATGGAAGTGATGGGTATAGGCCGTTTGAGAGTGCGGATGTGGTGGGGGGACGGTGGACGGCGAGTGAGAGGAGTGCGTGGCCGAGGAATTTGAGACATGGGAGCGTGGTGCCGGTTACACAGGGGCAGTATAGCGCGTTGACTGGTAGATGGGGGTAGATAGGGTGGTGGATAGTGGAATGGGCGTGGGAATCGAGAGCCCTCGTTTCTGTCGCACCGGATAGAGGGCTTTTCGACTCGTAGAACCGGTGGGCCATGGTGGTGGACTGTAGGTCGTTATGGCTTCCGACTATCGAAATAGGAAATAGTATGACTGCTTACGAGGGACTCCTGTGGGGTATCTCTCTCATACTCATCTCCTCCGCTTCTAGCTATTCTCTGTGATGTCCCCACATCTATCCACCCTCTTAACCTCTCTACCGTCCAAGTGATGTCATCAGAACTGCCTCAGCACTATCCTCCCCCTCCCTCTCACCCTCATCTCCACAACCCCTCCAGCGCCCACTCGGCCGAGGTAGCTCCCTCCCCTCACGCCCGCACCCACATGTCCCCCCTTATCTCATCTCATGTCAACTAAGAGCAACCAATCTCACGCCACCCGTAGCGTCTGCACCACCGGCGTCGCAGGGGCGTCCGTTTTCGCGTCTTTGGCTTTGAAGACTGGGAAGGTGATGGTTAGGATGGTCCATACACACAAAAATACACATATATTCTTTATATCTTTCTATTTCTTATTGTTTTTTTTT